GCCGACCTGCTGGAAGCATCGCTTCCCTGGGGAAGGGCGGCTACCACCGCCTGGCTAGGCAAACGCTTCTCCCTTTTGGTTCACGAAACGGGACCCAGCGGGCGGACAGTGGGCACCACGCGGTGCCTCGACCATCTGGTGCTGAGGGGCATCATCAGCCCCCACGGCTGCCATCTCCATGCAGCACCTCACCATGAACCCGAGCCCTTGCACAGCTTGCATGGTCAAAAGGCTTCATGCACAGGAACCATAGGGACCTGCACTGTCCCCCTCCATGGCTCCTTATTCCAAGATGACATTGACCCTTGCATCAACACCACCAACCTTACACATGGACCATTTGCTCCAGCACCACCATCCATGCTAGAGTGAGGTGATGCTGTGCTCCCTGTGCACCAGCCAGCAAAAGCCACAGCCCAGATGCAGCTTGCATGGAGACTGATGGATGTGGGATCCTGTGTCAGCCAGGAGAAAGCAGTGGTGTTCCCCCAGCAGTGGTGTTCCCCCAGCAGTGGTGTCCCCCCAGCAGTGGTGTTCCCCCAGCAGTGGCCACTGCCACTGAGCTACCTCCATGCACCTGGCCCCATGCTCACCAGCCAGGTGGGGCAGGACCAACCCCACTCAACCCATTGGTTCCATGCCCCTGGAAAACTGGTCCCATCCCTTCCTGAAGGTTCCACCACCCCATGGGGCCACTCAACCTGGGCCTATTTACCTGCAAGTTCCTTTCAGCTTCCTCCAGTGCCTTCTCCACGCTGGCCAGGTTGATTTCCAGCTGGGTGCCTTGCTTGACCTTGGCCTCCAGGTCCCTTTTCATCTTGACAGCCATGTCCTCCAGCTCTGTGGGGCTGGGCGCAGGAGTTTCCTTCCCCCTCTTGGCCCTCTCAGCCATCTCCCACTGGATTTCCTTCTGCAGGGCTTCGGTCCGGGCACTCAGTTCGTAAATCCTCTGCGTATACTCCTCCAGGTCAGCCCGTAGACTCCTAACCCTCTCCTGCCGCTCCCGCTCACACTCCTTCTCCAGTCGGAGCTCACTCTGCCAAAATTCCTCCTCGCACAGCTCTGTCTCATTCCTCTGCACCAGGTGCTCCAGGTAGAAGATCTCATCCTCCTGGCTGTCAAGCTGGCTGTGCTCCCAGAGCCGTAGGTCTGTCTCTAGGGTGTCCCTGAGGGCCTCCAAGGAATGCAGCTGCTCCTGCTGCCACAGCACCCTCCTGAACAGCTCATCCTTGGAGGGCTGAACAATCCCACTGCTCCCCATGTCCATCCCTTCCCGCATTTGATGCCTCCAGCGGCTCATGGCAAACTGTTCACTGGAGCCTGTAGGACCCAAGTTGAAGGTCATGGATTTTTTTGGCTCCCGGGAACGGGATGCATCCACGCAGGCAAGCCTGGGCTTGATGGGCAAGCTGGCCCGGATAAATGTCCTCTCGGGGACTTGGGGAGTGCCCTCCGAGGAGGGTCGCTCCGCCACGCTGGGGCCTGTCCGCCGCAGAACAAACTGCACGTCGTTGGCATACTGCCCACACTTGGCCAGCAGCTCCAAGGGGCACTCCAGAGGCAGCAGCTGCCTCTCCCTCTCTCTCAGCCTCTGCACCAGCATGTAACGACCTGTCTGACCTGCAGGGAGGAGGTTACCACATCAGATGGGGAGAGCCACAGCCAGTGATGGTGCACCATAGCTGCCACCCCACAGGCAACAGCTGGTGACATCCTGACCACACCAGGGCAGGACACTGACCCACCCAAGGGCTCCCCTTTCCAGCAAGCACCTGGATATGGGGCATCCCATCAGCAGATGCGTCCACCCAGAAAGAGGCATCCCACCCAGCTGATGCAGATGGCTCACCAATGGCCCGCGCCAAAGCGATGACCACTTCTTGGCAGGTGGTTTGCTCTGAGACACCACAGACAACCCTCTGGATCCCATCTACCCAGACCTTCAGCTCCATCCCCACAGATGCTGGGCCTCAGACGTGCTGGGTCATTGCCTGTGGGGAGAAAAGAAACCAGGTTTCTGTCCCAGGCCACTAACAAGGAGTAAAAGATGCTCTAAGAGCAGTGTCAGTAAATCACCTTTAACACCAGTATCTCATAAGGTGCATCCTAGACCAAGCAGATACTTGCTGCCACCTTCCCTCCATCTCTGTGGCTCTCACTGTGCACACACTGCGTTTTTGTTGATATTATTAACACAGTGATGTTCATCTGCAAGAAAACCAAAAACAGAACAACGTGTTTGTTTTTTTTTTTTATGTCTGGCCAGTGGGTACCCACCTTTCCATGGTGGGAAATGATGGGGTTTGTGTTCCTGCATGCTGCCCAGAAGTAGATGTTCAGGTTATTTTTGCTACAAATGCAGATATTTAATAGGGTTGCTGGACTTTCACTGTAATTTCTCTGACAATTTGTCAGGGAACCACCAGGGGATTTTTCCAAACAATATTGGAAAAGGTGAAGAAACTGCAGGCTGCCCACCCTTGCCATGTGATACTGAGAGGAGGTGCAGATAATGCACATTTTAATCTATTTACCTCTATCTCAATTTATCAGAGAGGGATTAAGAAATTAAAATAAAACCTCTGCACAACAATGTGACTAAAGGTAGGGTTTGGAAGGGGAAATCAGGCACAAACACCTGCAGTGAAGCCTGGGTTCCTGGAGATGCTCTGCCCAATACCAGGGTCCAGCCTGACACCCACCCCACGATTACTTCTCCTGCATTAAAATAGCACCTATTAGCCTGGGCACACCCAACCCCTGCCTCTTCTAGTGGCTCAACAACTGCAACAGTCTTTAAATAAAAAAGATTAACAAAATTAAGCACAAGCTGTAAAGAATTCAAATGTTTGAGCTTACAGTGTTTTTCAACACCGTGCAAAGATGTATTTTTTTCCTCTGTAACAATGTTTTTTCTAGCCTCAGGCTTGTCTGAAAGCCCCCAGTGGAGCAGCATATATGGGAAATTTCTAGGCCTTCGGTCCAGAGGGTCCCAAACCACTTTCTCAGCCTAACCAGGCTGGTTGCAGTCTGTCCATCCCTCAGCTCCAGCTCTCCCACGTTTGCAGCCAGGCTGTCAGAAAGCTAAACCTCGGGTTAAACACCACCACTTGCTTATTTTTTGTTGCTTGCTTGAGTAACCAAAGGGAAGGCTCAAAGGGTGTGATTTCAGCCATGGTGCAAGAAAGGCCTGAGGAAACTGCGGAAGATACAGCTTGGGGGGGGCTGTTTCCTGTGGGTGCTGCCGGTGCCACCCCCTGGCCCGCCCCTGGAACGTGGGCACGGAGCAGCTGCCACAAATACCTCTGTGCTGAGCTCATGTTTGCCTTGGCTGGGCAGCCAGGAAAAACTGCTGGGGGTGAAGGGCACCTTGTGTTCGGCTGACCTCCATGTGAGCCCAAACCCAGTTAAAATTTGCAAGATTTAGCCCAATTTCATTTTAAAGCTGTGTTTTGGCACCACACCTCACACCCTGTGCATTCAAGGCTGCAAATGGCCCCCATCATGGAGCAAAGGCAAGTGTCACCAGGGCACCACTGAGCTCACCCCAAAGCCACCATCCTCCCCCACCACAGCACCCTAACATCACATTTGGGGTGGAAACACATCCCAGGGAGCACCGTCCCCACCCCAGCCAGGTACCCAACTGGCATTGAACTTGCTCTGACCAGGGGAGGCCAGGAGCTTAAAAATATATAAGAAAAAATAACCCAGCCAGGTGAGTTGTGTTGCACAGCCTCACCTTGCCCCAAAAAAATCCAGTGGTTTCGAATGCCACTGGGTGTGGAACGGCTGCCAGCACACCAGTCCCCAGCACCTGTTTGGGTTCAAACTCAGCACCAACTCCCAGCCCCGCCTTGGCAATCATTTACCACGAACCAGTGCTTGGCAGGACACCATCACACAGCTGGGAGCACTGGTGGCCAGCTTTTCTCCCAGTAATGGGAAAATCTCTCCGAAAAGCAGCTAGCTCATCCCTCTCTGTTGCATGCCCCCCTGCTGCACCCCCTGGCATCCAAAAATCCAATGGTTTTTCTTATTTCTTTAAAAACCTTGCAAGTGCAAGGTGTGCCCGTTAACCACTCACTGTAACCTCTGAGGTTTTTGGAGGTAGCCGTCCCTAGCTCACTCCTGGATACAGGGTGTTATCTGCCCCCTTGCAACGGAGTGGCAAACACAGCTGGTGGCTGTTTCCCCCTCTGCCTGCCCTCCTCATCCCAGCCCAGCCAAAACCAGCCTGGCTGCCCCTCTTGCCATGGAACCCTGGGCTCATGGAGAAGCTGAAGGGATGAAAGCAGCTCATCCTCCTCTGGGAGAAACCAGCAATGCTCCTTGCATCCCTCTGTCATTGCTCAGGAGGGACATCACAACCTGAAAACAGCACCTCATCCGCAATATCCCACTGCATCAGCATCACCCCGATTCATAAAAACCCACCCTAAAAGCCACCAGGCAATACATCCCAAAATCTCCAACTCGCCCTCAGCATCACCCCCCTTGTAGCATGCATCCTCCAGCTCTCTACCATCACTCCTAAAAATCAATTGTTGTGGGGCAGTCTCATAGTTCCATTTGCAAATACGACCTCCCTCTCCCAGGCTTTGCTGCTGACCCCCTACTTTAATTAGTTGCTGCCTTTGTTACACCATCAGGTAATGAAAAGGGCTTTTTTTTTGGGGGGGGTGATAACAATCACTTTCCTTGGGAAGAAGCACTTCTCAGCAGGGTTTCCAGCTGCCTCTGTATTCGAGATAGGAGCTCACTTTGATCATGAACTAGAAGTGCAGGCAGCCGCTGGGCCCTGCTGTCTGCCCTGAAAACAGCACAGGGGAGCGAGCAGGTGGCTGCAGGCACCAGGATGCATGAGAGCTGCTCTCATTCTCTCATTTTATTCTTTCCCCTCCACCATGGATTTCTAAATAACTTTTTGGAAGCAGATTAACAAAGTGACTAATTTTCTGCTCCCTTCCCTGTGTGATGGATCCTAAAATTGAGGGTAGGGATGATTCATACTACGACTTCAACAAATTTACTAACTGGGAGTCGGAATTTCAAATGCTGAGATACACACAATTAACAATCTCAGGTCTTGCAGCTTTATTTTGTTTCCTGGCACAGCTATCTCCTAGCCTCCCTGAAGCTGTCAAGCTAAAAAAAAAGATGAAGGAGCACTTCTGCGCACGTGGGAGGATGTACGTTCTGCATAGCTCCTGCAAAACACCATCCTGATAGCTGCTGGCACTTGCAAGGGTTCAGTGATCTCCTTGAACCTGAAATAATGTCCAGCCAACCAAGAAAATTTGCCACTCTCCTTACAGACTTGAGGAGCACCACCAATTTAGAGGGACCCCTCCATATCCCCTACTGGGACTCTCAGAAGCTTCCAACCAAGGACTGCAAATAACTTGCAAGTGCCTTTCTCCCACATTTTCCCATTTACAAGAAGCAAAAACAACAAAACCAAACACAAACCAAAAAAACAGGAAAACCACGCCACACTAATTCTGCTCAAAACTGCAAGGCCAGCTGCAACCCAAATCCCAAAGCATCCCAAACACCTCTACACCTCTGCCAGAGCTCCTAAGAAGCACTGTCCAGGCATCCTGCCAGCCCCAAGGTTTCACTAATTTTTGAGGCTTCATTTGACTCCTTTGCTACATCCACCCAGCAGAGAGCTGGGTATAGGGCTGGGCAGGCAGGAAAGCAGCAGCACAGGGAGACCTTCCCAGCAAGCCTAATAAAAACTGCAAAAAGCTAGAAGACTAGCCTTTTGGGTCAGTGTTTGGGCTGGGGGTAGGGTTATGAAGACTCATAATTAATCAATAAAAATGTATTTGTACTTGAGAATAGGCCATGATGAGCCCACCACCCAAGAAGGGCCAAAGTGTCCATGGTGACCAACACCTCTGCATCCTTTTGGATGTGCTCTAAGGGTACTCTCGGTCATTTCATTCTGGCTTTGAACCTGACCCTCTTGCTCCTCTCCCACCCAATGAGAGAGGGGACACTCATCCCTGTTGCATATGGATACATGAGTGAAAAAACATAACCCCAACACATGAGTAAACAGCAGTTGATGAGTGGAGAAGGGGGAGTGACCCTGTGCTAGAGTGCTGGCAGGCTGGCTGTGACTCACCTTCCTAGATCAGCTGCTGTGGTGATGCATCCAGCAGCTATTTAATGCTTCCTGAGGTCCCTCCCTGCCAGAAGCACCGGGCCTACCTCCTAGGTATCAAAGGGAAGAGATGATACTTGCCCACATGCCCTCTGGGTGACAGAAGCCTCCCCATTACTCAGGTGGGAGAAAACACAGAGGAAATCGAAGCTTCCTGATGGCACAGCAGGTTGGAAAGGATGGGCTGTGTTCCAGGCTTCCCTGTAGCCCATCAACAGCGTCCTGATGTAGGTGCCTTTTCTGGAGCCGCATCCTCTGCCCTTGGCTGGGGCGTTGCAGGGGTAAGGAGCAGCTCTGCTGGACACCACACTCAGAGGTTGAGGCAGTGGCCAAGGGTTGTCAGGGAGATAGCTCCTATGCTGGGTGGAGATGATCAGCCATGGCCAGGCTTGATGCTGTGGCTCTTTCTGGGCTGGCAGGTTCATCCACAGTTCTGCATGAGCTGTCTGTGCTGCACACTCAGGCAACTACCAATGGTCACTGCTGTAACAGCAGGGAGCAGTGGACAAAGCCCTGCCCACAGCCACATGACGCAGAATCTTTCCACAGTGCCATGCTCAGCCTGAGGGTGCTGGCTCCAGGATCCTGAAGGGAAAACATCTCCTGGCCTGGTGCAAAGCAGCCAAGAGGACAACCTACCAAAGACATCATTGTTTTCTCCTGCAGTGTGGGGGCCATGAGGGTGTGGGCAGGACAGAAGTACAGGGCTCCTGCCTCTAGGGCAGCATTTTTTTAAAATGGGTTACTTCATCGCAGTGGAAAGACTTGACAGGGGTCAAACAAGCTCAAGAGGTGACAACCAAGTCCTACCAAGTG